GAAAAATGTAAATTAGAATGAGGGTTGACTTGAAATTGAAGAGAAAAAACAAAAGCTTACAAACTTTTATTCCAGAAGGAATAAAAGCTTCCCGAGATTTACTCATACATATTATGGATATAAACATGTTTGCTATTTATTTAGATACTGGCATACAATATCCTTTCTTATTGAAATAAATATTAGTATTTATATAGTGTAGTATTTGCCGAAAAGAAGATGATCAGATGATGACCATGATCATGATTATGATGACAATGGTAATGATGATCTTGTTGATCATAATGATGTTTATAAATGCATATATATACAGAATAAAACATAAATTTTGAATTAATAAAGTATACTTTATGATGTATAAATATTTATGCAGCCTGGTCACAAACATGGCCTTGGCCCCAGCTATATTTTATCAAACTCGGTCCTGACCCTAGTCAAATACAAACCCTGTTCGCTTACTACTTACAGGTGACAGGCCTTGTTTCAAAGCGTTAATCTGCCGGCAATTTATGTACACATCAAGCAATTTTTAGTACTCCTTGAGCGATTTCCATTTAATCATTTATCATTTTTTAACATTTAAATTATTTTATAAGCAGTAAGATTAAAGTAGTAAGTAATTTTATGAAAAACCACATTAACTTTTGAATGACGATAATGTAAAAAAGTTTGTAACAAAAGTTGTAATGACAATTATATTAGATATAAACATATCTGGGGCAGATCTTCTAATAATGTTCTTTCTCTTTTAGACAAGGTGTAAAAATGTATTGTAAACATATTTGTATCTGCTCTTGCAGCCAACCACCAACCATTATCACATTGTTGTAATGTTGCTTCTCTTTCTCTTTTTTACAAATACTATAATGAGCACTGCTCTAAAGAGCTAGCGCCTCTTGCACCATCTATTAAAATTCATTCTCGTGTTACTCGTCATTCAATGAAGTTTTTTCCTCAAACATCATTTCATTGGAATTCACTTCCTTCATCTTGCTTTCCTGATTCATATAATTTGCAATCCTATTAGTGGCCTGTCAATCGTTATCTTGCTCTACAATCTTCATCTTTTCTCTTCCAGTAACTTCCAGCTCTAGTGGTTGCTTGGAGCCTTTTTGAAAACAAAGATGTTAAACCAAAAAAAAAAAAAATTATTATTTCGAATTATTTAGTAACAGAAAACAATATTATTTCTAGTTAACAACAAAATTTTTTTGTTTACAAAGTTATTAAACAAAACCTTTAAAAAAAACCCATAAAAGAAATATTAAAAACTTTTATTTATCATCTCGCAAGCACAAGAATATTTATATAACTTGATTGCAATAAAAGAAATTTACTTAAATTTCTATTTAATAATTAAAAATAAAATTAAGTGGTATAATTTAAAAAAATGGTGTTTAAAAAAATAATCTTTGCTTTCACAACACAATCGCTAATAAAATAATAATCTTTTAATATATAAAGTAAATAAATTAGCATAATTTTTTGATTTGTTACTTGCTTACATTTTTAAAATAAAAAAATCTTTTTTAGTTGCAAAGCCTAAATTAGAAATTTAAGAAATAATCATTTAAAAAAAATTTAAGATATTTTAATTCATTTATACAAATGTCGAGAAAAGAAAGAAATTTGTTTATATCAAACATTTAAAAAAATGTATTATTAAATTTAATTATTTAATAAAAACAAAAAATTCAAAGAAAATAAAAATTCCCTAATAGTAAAATTAAAAAATAAGTTAAATAATATTTAACTTGTTTTGCAGTAGTTTAAAAAAGTTAATGTTTTTAAAAAATAAAAAATAAAGAGATTTTGATGATGTCAAATTCACATTAGACAAATGCATTAAGCTTTTATTATTTAAAACAAGGCTTGAAATGAACAAACATTGTGCTAGAGGTTCAGACGAACACTAACATACATATAGAAACTTACGGGTGGATGAACTCCACATCAGAGGTTTAGACAGAACACAAACATACATATAGAAGCATACTATTTGTACAAGTTAGTACTGCATTGAGAAAACCAATATATACAAACTGTTAAATAACCAATGTCTATCAAAAAATGTTGTATATTAGACCACTGTAACATCCCAATCTTATGAAACAATCTTATAATAGTGTTAGTGAAAATATATTTAAGTTTAGGTTTGCAAACCATCTAAAATCCTTTAACGCAACCAAGTGCAAATATGATAAGCAGGAGCTGTACGAGCTGCTCCTTATTTAAATTGAGGTTCAATTTTAATTTTAATTTTTTTTCACAACTGTGTCTTTTAAAAAGCATTGCAGTATATTATGCAATTAATTTTTTTTTAAATAACATTGTTTTTTATTTTAATTACAACTATAATTATAATTTCGAAAGAAAAATTATACTTTTGCGAGAGCCATAAATTGCTCCTGTAAATCATTTTAGGGGAATGTGGGCCGAGGCCTGTATGTATATAAATATATAAATTTTTTTAATTTCAAAATTAATTTTTTTTTTCCAGCTGATCACCATTTGGGATGTTTGATTCATGGTTGTATAAACGGATCTATTATACAACCTAATTTTGATTATCTGTCAGCATCTCAAAAAGAAATAATCGATAACATTAAAGTTGGTAGTGAAGTTTTATTTACTATTACTAAAATTGACAATCATAATGATATCCTTTTTGTAGTTGGTGAAATTGCTCCACAGTTTTATTTGGGTAAAAAAAGGTACTTAAGTTTTTTATTTTATGTTTTTCAGATTTTTGTTGAATAATACGGTAACTAATCAAGTTTTCATTTTTTCAAGAAAATATTTTTTAAATGAAATTCAGAAAATTATAAGTTTTAAAGGATTTGTAAAAAAAAATCATGGGCTGAAAACACTGTAACTACATTCAATGAAATGAATGCAAAAAAATTATTACAAAACAATATTTGTGATATTTTTAATTGCATTAGTTTGACTTTACAAAAATAACAGAAAAACGTAAAAATGTACAGGTTAAAAATAAATGAGATATTTTGGTTTCTTTGTTAATATATATATATATATATATATATATATATATATATATATATATATATATATATATATATATATATATATATATATATATATATATATATATATATATATATATATATATATTTATATATATATATATATATATCCTATATATCATTATGATGCTGCTGCATCATAATGATATATAGGATATCATTATGATGCAGCAGCACTCCCTTGCGAGTCAGGCTATTTGTCAGTCGATGTAGCAGCACTCCCTTGCGAGTCAGGCTATAAGATAGTCGATGTAGAAACACTCCATTGTAGCAGCAGGCTATAAGATAGTCGATGTAGCTACATTTGCGCATGTTTTAAAAATGTTTTTTAATAAAACAAAAACAAAAACACCACTAATTAAAAAAAACTTTCTAGTCATTATTATTGCGGTTTTTTAAAAAATTTTTAAAAAGCAATAAAATTTAATTTACTTCCGCATCAATTTAATTGCTTTGACATTTTGACGACAATCAAATACAGCTTAAGAGACGAGGTAATTAAAATTGTAGTCGAAAGAGACTTTTTTTACATTAAAAGACTCTTTCGACTACACTATAAGGATATATATATATATATATATATATATATATATATATATATATATATATATATATATATATATATATATATATATATATATATACAGTGGTATACACTGGATTTTTAAATGTTTGAATTTTGACACTTACAGGCATTGTGCAAACTCCAAACTTTTGTATTTTCATGCTTATGTCAAATGAGAATGTTTTGCAAAGAGTTGTAATGATTGGAGCTTGGGGATAAAAAAAACCCAATTTTTTGGCCCACTAAGCCCTTAATGTGGGAGCAACAAGTTTATAAAATAATTTCTTTAGTATTTTTATCTAAGTTTATATTCATCAACAAATTTCAAATTTTATGCAATAACCTTTTAGTGTTTAGTTTTTATAAAGTTTACAGCCCCCTCAAATTGAGGGGGTTAAAACTTTATATGGTCATAATTTTCAAAAAATAATGCTGAACTTAATAACTCTAAGCATGCAAATAAAGTGCGCATATTTATTAATTTTTGCTCTAAGAGCAATGCTTCAAATGAATTATTTTTCTACTATTATTCAAAAAACATAAAAGTGAAAAAATAGATAAATAGCTTAGGTATTGTAGGTAGCCGTGAAATAAAAACCCCTAGACCCGTAAATTTTGATTCATGATAGCTAGTTATTAATATTAGCACCAAAACCAATATAACTTGAAAATTTAGGGCCTGTTCATCAGAGTTGTTAACAAGGTCAAATATAGTAAGGCCTAGGCCAAGGCCACATTTTTCAAGGCCAAGGTCAAGGCCAAATGTTCCAAGGCCAAGACCACATGTTCCGAGGACAAGGCCACATGATTCAAGGCCAAGACCACAAGTTCCAAGGTCAAGGCCAAGAACAAAAATTTCAAAGCCAAGGACAAGGTAAAGGACGCATCCAAGTATTTATTGGGGTAAGACTTAATTTTCAAGCTGCAAACAACAAATCCGCATGTTTCAAAATTAAATCAAGGTTATGCGTCTATATTGTCAATAAGAAAATATATTAGAAAATAGATATATAGTAAAGCCAAAAACAAAAATACGTTAAAATTTGAAAATATAAGATGTTAATATTATTTTTTAGCAATAAATATAAGTTGTCAAATGAACTATTATAGTCTACAAGTCTTTATTGCATTTAAGAAACATTAATGTTTCAAGCAAAGAATCTGACATACTATAACTATAAAGATCAAAATTTCATTTCTCAAGTACCTTGAGGTATACTTGGTACCTTAAATTATTCTTCTGATATAAGTTATAACGTTTCACAACGATTAATAATAACATTTATATTCTTTATATACTTCTTTTTATAGAACTTTTATACTTTTTAAATAAAAATTTTTCTTTGAATAAATATTTTATTCTGAATGAAAATGTTAAAATCGTTCGAATTTTAAATTTCAAAAAAACAAATTTTTCAAACATTCTATTGTCTTCAAAATGTCACAAGAAGTTTTCATTGATTTTTTTTAACTAATTAACAGTAAGTAACCAAATAATTTTATATAAGGTTAAACATTAATGAATACAGCATTTAATTACTTTTAAACAATTCTATTGTTCTAAATTCAAAAAATGAACTTGCTAAAATAAACAGAAAATTAGAAAAAAAAATTTCAAGGCCAAAAAATTTCAAGGCCAAGGCCATGAGTTTCAAGGCCAAGGTCAAGGACTAACAACTCTGCTGTCCATTCAATTTTTTTTCTAATGGCTATCTCATCTAATGTCAATGAACACCTTGATCAATTTTCTTAACTTCCTACTTTACTATGAAGAGCTACTAAAGCTTCTTTACTAATTCCAGGGGGACAGTCAACACAACATACCATTTTTGTATAGTTTGTGGTTGTTGAAGTGCATTATTGTAAGTTTTCCTAACATTACTATAACCAAATCTCTTGTGGGTAATGCTTTTGAATTTTTCCTTGTAATATCTGACAAAATTTCTGTTTCGTAGGCAGACATAGTTCCCTGTAATTAAATTGATCAAAAAAATGAATATATTGTTACAAAATCATTTTTTACTTGATACCCCAATCAATAATATGCCTTGTAAAATAGGGCATTATTGATTGGGGTATCAAGAAATGCATGATATCATAGTAAAAAGCCAGACAGGTTTCATGTAAATGATACATAATAACGCCAATACACAGTTTTTTTAACTAATTTTCTAATTTTACACTATTTTCAAAAGGCCTATGTTAAAAATAGTTAAAATCAAATACAATAATTAATTCATTGCTATTCTTACCGTAATTGTGTTGAGCTAAATTTTTATCTAACTGTTAATGTAGTAAATTTACTAAATTAAAACCATATTTTATTAGAAAGCCAATTAAAACAAAATAATTCCAATGGTATAATTTAAAAAAGTCACAATTTTTTAAAATATTAAAATTAAAAGTGTATATCATACTATTAGTGTGGTTGATATTTCTTCAGAAATCATACTTTTTAATTTAAGATGACAAAGGCATGAACGTCTTTAATCCTTTTTATTAAACGACACTTGGATTCCTGAAGCATTTTAATTGTCTTCTGCCTAGCAGCAAGTCTACTTATAGTTAATTTTGAAAACTTATTACTATTTTCTGGTGTTACCATATCATTTTCATCAAATCACCAATATTCCGTTTACCATTGGTAGTGGGATTGATTTACCAATTTTCAACATTATGTTCCTAAAATTATATAGGTATTGCATTACACAAAAAGTAAACTCAAAAATTTTAAAGAAATATATGCCATTGTTTAAGTAATTGTAAAGTATGCCATTGTAAAGTAGTTACATTAGCCTTACTGTATCATTGGTGATATTATTGTCAACATTATTATAATTGTCAACGTTATTGTTCCTAATATAGGTATTATATGATACAAAAAGTCTCAAACATATTAAATCATGATATGCTGTTGTAAAAGTATTAGTTACATTAGACTTTGTGTATTGAGTCATTGGTGATATTATTTGAAATTTTGTCTGTTTTTTTGGTGGTTTTCTAGGATGAGTATTTTTTTCTGTGTAATGGGAAATCAAATATAGTAGGAGTTGTTTATTTTTATTAATTTTGTTTTCTTCATAACAGTCACTAGTGAAATAGGGTAAAACTAGTCCGTAGAAAATGAATCCGCGGAAGGTTTTGTCGTTTTTTGTCGTTAAATTCAATGTAAACCCGCAATTATAAATATGAAACAAAATATCAGGAAACGTACAAATTTTAGCCAAAATTTCCAAAATCAGTAAAATTTAACAGTTTTTTCAACTGTATCTGATGGCCAACCTTATTTTATTGCTAAAAAAAATTTTAGCTTAAAAAAACTTTAGTTGCAATAGGTCGTCATTGTTTTAATGCTTAATTTTACTGATTTTGGAAACGTTGACTAAAATTTTTACGTTTCTTAATATTTTGTTTCATATTTATAATTGCAGGTTTACATTAAATTTAACGATAGAAAACGGCAAAACTTTCCGCGGATTAGTATTACCCTAGTCAAATGTTTATTACAAACTTTACAAGAAGTAAAACCATCTCTCCACATAACTTGTATTCATTTTCTCCTCAATTATGGAATTGAGGAGAAAATGAATACAAGTTATGTGGAGAGATGGTTTTACTTCTTATATCTAATGGAAAACTACCAACAAAAAAAGTATTTAATAGGTATACTAAAATAATATACTATTTATATTCAAAATATGAGGTATGATCTTAGTGAAGAATAATTTGTAGCTATTTTCCTACGGGCATTTGTTTTTCAAAGTTACGCTCTAAATGTCTTTTAAACGTTTTTTAAACGTCTTTTAAACGTTCTTTACGTAAGAATGTTTAGAAGAGGTTCAAAGACATTTAAAATGCATTTAGAACGTATGCTGGGTTACCTATGAAAAGAAACTTCATTAGTATATCTTTGAGTGCAATTATATGCATTACAAGATAAAACCATGTTTGTTATGTAGCTTTATTCTATTCGAAAATTAAAATTTAAACAAAATAATATACATAACAAATATTAAAACTTTAAAAGCGTTAAATACATTAAGTTATTTTTACTTTAAATGCTCAAACGTGACGTCACGCGCTAAAAGATGTTGGCTTCAAAATTTTGTGAATATTAACTTACTGTAAGGCGTGTCTATTAGTTTATATGGTCGAAGGTTTTTAATGATTCACGTGCTCATTCACTTGGTTCAAAATCATTAAAAAAAATGATACATAAGCTAGGGTTGTTAACCGGAGGATTTCGTGCAATTCCGGAAAAACAACATTCTTTCGTAAGGAGATTGAGAACTAGGAATTACATTTTTTCGTACCGAATGTTACAAAACATTTAAAATCGCCAATGTTCATTTCGCAAAAGCCACTTCCGAAATTTAGCATTTCGCAAGTTGACATACGAAACAAAACTATTTTGCAACATACGAAAGTAGCGGTTTCGGAAGTCGCACTTGCGAAACAAACATTTTCGCCAAACGACGTTTTGAAGTCTATAAAGAAAATTTGTTTGCCAGACTGATTTTAATTGTAAAAATTAACATCTTTAAATCCCAAAATGTTGAAAATGAATTTTTATTTTCAATATAATAACTATTAAATTTTTATGGTTTTATTTTTAGAAATATTAATAAAAAATAAAATTTCTTTCGAAACGAAAGTATTTCGGATCACAACATACGAAAGAATTCTTAACGGAACGAAACGTGCCATAATAAATATATACAACGATGTTTTTTGAACTCATTACGTATATTAAAAATAAGAATGATGGGTAGGAATATACATGTTTTTTTTTAAAGCATATGAAATTTTTGAAACAGGTTCGAATATGCTTAAGCAAATAGTAAAAAGAGGCTCAAAAATATGCTTTAGCTAAGCATATTTCTGATAAAATATACCTATTTCAATAATTTCTAAAAGTGTGCACGTTACTAAAGTTCTAGCAGATTTTAAAGGTATGTAGAGTCCTGTTTGAATACGCTTTTCGAAGTATAGATCTTAGAAAATATTGTTTTTCAATTTTAATAAGATATAAATTTAAGTATAAGATCTTATAGTTCAATCAGTTAGATACGTGATAACTTGCCGCAGAGATCCGGGTTCGCTTCCCGCAGCCATTGTAACTTTTGTTCATCAAACTCTTTTTACTTAAGATAGCATTTTTTGACCTACATGTTCTATATTACAGATCTTTCGTCACCTTCATAATAGTGACAACCTCTCTTCTGTTAGTTATTCTTTTAAGATTGAGTTCATTGTGCTTAATTCAACACGTTTCCCTTGCTTTACTAAGTTCTACTTAAATTATGATGAAATGTACGTAAAACAACTTTTTCAAATAATATAAATCATTTTGCTTTAAATCTTTTGCTTTTTGTACTAGACATCTGTCCTAAATACTTTGCAATAATTTCTAGCTAACTCTGAGTCTAATATAACCATTTCTGAATATAATTTCCCTGAGGCTCCTACAGCCTATTGTGTTCCATTAAAAGTAACTAGTTTTTGAGTCCAGATATTAATTATAAGCATCTAATTGTTCACATTACTATTCATTTTCCTGATATATAGAATCCTATTTGCATACGTATCATTTTCTGTAAATTCTGTTTTATATAGTTTCTTAATTATATAATAAATAAATATTACTATTCACTTAGTTGAATGAACGTATAGCTCATTCAGTTAAGACATTTGGCCGCGGAGACCCAGGTTCACATCCCGCTGTTTCACATATATTTATTCTCTTTTTACTCTTTCTGATATCATTTACCTTTAGAGAGATCTCTCGTTTTTTATAATAAAGTATTAAATTGTTTATCACACATCCTCTTTATACTTTTTAAAAAGAAAGGCATACTGTTTATCTGTTCATTGAGAGTCCAACTTAACGGGATTTTACTGTATATATATGTATATATATATATATATATATATATATATATATATATATATATATATATATATATATATATATATATATATATATATATATATATATATATATATATATATATATGTATATATATATATATATATATATATATACATACATACATACATACATATATATACAGTAAAATCCCGTTAATATATATATATATATATATATATATATATATATATATATATATATATATATATAAAATATATATATATACATATATATATGTATATATATATTCATATATATATATATATATATATATATATATATATATATATATATATATATATATATATATATATATATACATACATACATACATACATATATATACAGTAAAATCCCGTTAACATATATATATATATATATATATATATATATATATATATATATATATATATATATATATATATATATATATATATATATATATATATATATATATATATATATATATATATATATATATATATATATATATATAAATATATATATATACATATTAGGTATATTTGTATAAACATTTGATGAATCATTTGACAACATTTTTTTATAATTTTATTATTTATTATTTAAACTGTTAACAGTTAATATCTTAAATATATCGTAACATAAAATCTTTTGCGTCTTTTTCGTAACTACACATTCCGGAATGCTTTTTCCGTAAGGAACTATTTCGTAAGTATTCTTACGAAATGATTTGTTTCCGCAAGTTTTCTTTCGCAATGCTTTATTACGGAATTTTATTTACTATTTATATTTTCGTATAGCGCGTTACGGAATGTGCATTTTTGCATGTGCAACTTCCGCAATAACAGTTCTATTACGGTAGATAAAGATGCGAAATTTTCGCAAGTTTTGTTTTTCGGCGAACAACCCTAACATAAGCCATTTAAATTAAAAGAAAATGTAATTTTGAAACTCGTTTTGAATTAGGAAAAAAACGTAATTCAAAATGTGACGATTTTATTAGTTAAAGGCTGTTTACATTGTTCTATATTTATTATTAAATATATTTTGATATTATCTTGAGTATGGTTTCACATTTTATAACTAAGATAATAAATATTAGAAAGTTAGAAATATATATTTAGTGTGCCGCCTTTATCACTTAAATATTTCAAAATAAGTTAATCAATTAAATTAAATTTATTTAATTCTTTTAAAATCTCATATATTGGAGTCTAGAAACACTAACAATATTAAGTTTTAGCAGCAGATATTTGTTGGGTATTTTTCATTAAAAAAAGAAATCGATCTATTGTGTCCTAACATTCCATCCTTTTTTGCATTTAAGAAAAATTACTTTAGCTAGCATCAATTTCATAACTTTTTAATTATTATTTATAGGAAAGCTCAAAGTTCAGAAGAATTTAGCGCTATTAAGAAAATCAAAGAAGAAATAGAATAATACAATGGAGAAGCCCAAAAAAGAACAGAAAACTGAAACTTCAAATATTTATATTTCCGTTAATAATGAAACTCGCTGCGGGTGATGTTATTCTGGTGTAGTAGATATTACCCGAATGTTTCAGGATGGAATTTTTGTAGCAACTTGATTTTTCATTTTCTGTATTAAATTTACACATGATTAAATGTGAAAACAACTAGGTAAAGTAGGTAATTTTGGATTATGTAATTTATAGAATTTTATATTATAGAATTTTAAAATCTTTCAATGTTTATTTAATTCTTTAAGATCCGATGTTTAAACATTCATTTATAGTCATATAGTGATTTTCTATACAAATTTTTAATTTTTTTAAATCCATTATGTACAGCAATTATTTAAAACTTAAGCATTTTTTTTAACGCAAACGACAACGAGGAGATTTTGAAACTACTGACTATTTATGTAGAACTATTGGCTTTTTAATGTGCTTTTGTATACGGGACGGTAGCGGTGAAGCATTGTTTTTAGATAAAACAAGCATTGGTTATAATAATTTATGATGCAATTATATCATTATCATTATTATTGTTGTTTAAACATTTTAAGATGAATTAAAATTTAAAATGTTATTGTGTTGAATTTTATTTTTCAAATTATTTCCTTTTACGTATAAAATTGTTGCGTTAAGTTGATAATATAGAAAAATTGACATAAAATGCCAAATTATGTAAAAGTGGTTAATGTTCATGAATAATACATAATTTTGAGGGAAAAATCAAAACAGGATCTAAGTGAGTAGACAGGTTTTGATATAAGTGGCTTTTAAACATGAAGAAAACTTTAAACTTGGTGATGTTCCTATCAATGATGAATACTTATACATCTGAGGATACTTTGTAAGAAAAATATATATTTATTGGAAAATGAGAAAAAAACCACTCCTTTTTAGCTCTCCCTACACCAAATATAAAGGTAACGGCTTGAGAATTATTTTTCAGTTATTAAATAAGTTGTCATCCCGAAATGTAAGTGCTGTAATAAATTTTTTTTTTTAATTATTTATAAATATGTAATTACTCAATTTATGTAAATTTAAAATTTTAAATGTAAAAAGTTATTATTGTATAAAAATACAAAACAACGCAAAAAGAGTTTTTTTCATTATCTTAATGTTAAATTTAATTAAATTATATGATTACATATTTATAAATAATTTTAATGACGGCAATTTGTATTTATCAGCAGACCTTAAATTTCAAAGAGAATCGTTTTGAGTTCGGAGATTACGACCATGGAAAGTTTAAACCTCCTTATTTCGAGGGGATTGTGAACTTTATAGGGTCATAAAATCCTAACACCAAGAATTATTGAGTATAATTTGAAAGTTCTTGGTGAATGTATAAATTCAGTTTATGATTGTAAAAATAAAATGAAAAAATTTTGATGCATTTTTGTTTAAAGAGTTTTGTTATTCCAAGTGTTTATTTTTTTAGATATGAATGCATAATAGTTTTGATTTTCATCATGCTTATTTCAGCCGTCTAAAATACTTACCTTCAAAGGAAATTAATATTTATTTATTAAAAACCCACTATATAATACTAGTAAGGAAATAGAGTTACATTGAGAATAAACTAGGGTTGTTAACAGGAGGATTTCGTGCAATTCCGGAAAAAAAACATTCTTTCGTAAGGAGATTGAGAACTAGGAATTACATTTTTTCGTACCGAATGTTAAAAAACATTTAAAATCGCCGATGTTCATTTCGCAAAAGCCACTTCCGAAATTTAGCATTTCGCAAGTTGACATACGAAACAAAACTATTTTGCAACATACGAAAGTAGCGGTTTCGGAAGTCGCACTTGCGAAACAAACATTTTCGCCAAAAGACGTTTTGAAGTCTATAAAGAAAATTTGTTTGCCAGACTGATTTTAATTGTAAAAATTAACATCTTTAAATCCCATAATGTTTATAATGAATTTTTATTTTCAGTATAATAACATATTAAATTTTTATGGTTTTATTTTTAGAAATATTGATAAAAAATAAAATTTCTTTCGAAACGAAAGTATTTCGGATCACAACATACGAAAGAATTCTTAACGGAACGAAACGTGCCATAATAAATATATACAACGATGTTTTTTGAACTCATTACGTATATTAAAAATGGGTAGAAATATACATGTTTTTTTTTTTTAAAGCATATGAAATTTTTGAAACAGGTTCGAATATGCCTAAGCAAATAGTAAAAAGAGACTCAAAAATATGCTTTAGCTTAAGCATATTTCTGATAAAATAAGCCTATTTCAATATTTTCTAAAAGTATGCACGTTACTAAAGTTCTAGCAGATTTTAAAGGTATGTAGAGTCCTGTTTGAATACGCTTTTCGAAGTATAGATCTTAGAAAATATTGTTTTTCAATTTTAATAAGATATAAATTTAAGTATAAGATCTTATAGTTCAATCAGTTAGATACGTGATAACTTGCCGCAGAGATCCGGGTTCGCTTCCCGCAGCCATTGTAACTTTTGTTCATCAAACTCTTTTTACTTAAGATAGCATTTTTTGACCTACATGTTCTATATTACAGATCTTTCGTCACCTTCATAATAGTGACAACCTCTCTTCTGTTAGTTATTCTTTTAAGATTGAGTTCATTGTGCTTAATTCAACACGTTTCCCTTGCTTTACTAAGTTCTACTTAAATTATGATGAAATGTACGTAAAACAACTTTTTCAAATAATATAAATCATTTTGCTTTAAATCTTTTGCTTTTTGTACTAGACATCTGTCCTAAATACTTTGCAATAATTTCTAGCTAACTCTGAGTCTAATATAACCATTTCTGAATATAATTTCCCTGAGGCTCCTACAGCCTATTGTGTTCCATTAAAAGTAACTAGTTTTTGAGTCCAGATATTAATTATAAGCATCTAATTGTTCACATTACTATTCATTTTCCTGATATATAGAATCCTATTTGCATACGTATCATTTTCTGTAAATTCTGTTTTATATAGTTTCTTAATTATATAATAAATAAATATTACTATTCACTTAGTTGAATGAACGTATAGCTCATTCAGTTAAGACATTTGGCCGCGGAGACCCAGGTTCACATCCCGCTGTTTCACATATATTTATTCTCTTTTTACTCTTTCTGATATCATTTACCTTTAGAGAGATCTCTCGTTTTTTATAATAAAGTATTAAATTGTTTATCACACATCCTCTTTATACTTTTTAAAAAGAAAGGCATACTGTTTATCTGTTCATTGAGAGTCCAACTTAACGGGATTTTACTGTATATATATGTATATATATATATATATATATATATATATATATATATATATATATATATATATATATATATATATATATATATATATATATATATATAAATATATATATATATATATATATATATATATATATATATATATATATATATATATATATATATATAAATATATATATATATATAGGTATATTTGTATAAACATTTGAAGAATCATTTGACAACATTTTTTTATAATTTTATTATTTATTATTTAAACTGTTAACAGTTAATATCTTTAATATATCGTAACATAAAATCTTTTGCGTCTTTTTCGTAATTGCACATTCCGGAATGCATCTTCCGTAAGGAACTATTTCGTAAGTATTCTCACGAAATGATTTGTTTCGCAAGTTTTCTTTCGCAATGCTTTATTACGGAATTTTATTTATTTATATTTTCGTATTGCGCGTTACGGAATGTGCATTTTTGCATGTGCAACTTCCGCAATAAAAATTCTATTACGGTAGATAAAGATGCGAAATTTTCGCAAGTTTTGTTTTTCGGCGAACAACCCTAGAATAAACGTAATAAATCATCTTGGAATTTATAGGTTAGTTTAGCTTGTTTTACTGTATGATTGTTGATATATCCTGGATAGTAAATTAGGGATGAATATAGCTTTTACTATATTTTGAAATGTTTAGGAGTGACTTTAGCCCGTTCTTTCTGACTATAAACAAATGTAAGTCAATTTTCCTTTACAGAAAGTTTATTAATGCTTGTCGCTGCTGCCAAGAAATAATGAAATAAATAAGCCTTTCAAGGTTTTGGGCATAAAATTATCAGAGAGCAAAAAAAGTTATTCTTAAAGCTGCTAATCAAGTTTTTGAAATTATTTCGAAAGACAAATACATTGTATATCGATAAATAATGTCGTCTTGCTCATTCTCATCAAAATCAAATCGTGTCAATAGGCCGACTGTGAAGGGAGAAAAGCTTTTTTTTGATTTTTTTTTTCAGATAATTTTAATTAAAAGTAAGTCTAAGACAAAATATAATAGTGTTAGAGTTAAATTTTTTACTAAAAGACTTTGAAAACGTAAATGTACCTTTTTTAGTTAAAAAAAACAAGACTCTGTGAATATTGAAAGTGAAAGTATATTTATAAGTGCATCAAAAAAAAAGTAAAGCAAGTAATCGTACCAAGTGGAAACTCAAAATGTGTCAATGGCTACAGGGTTATTGATATAAAAATTTTTAACTTCCATTTTTGATAAACTTGGGTGTCCAGAATGTCTGTGACCACTGTTGTCGTTAAACGAGAATAAAAAGTCTTAAAAAGGATATGCATCAAATTTATCTTTATCTAGTGTTTGTGGCTTTAAATTACATCAAAAAATATAGCATGGTTTGATATTAATAAAAGATTGGTGTATGCCACGAGAACACTTGGTCAAGGTCAAGCTGGTCTACATCGGTTTACCACTCTTATTAATATCTTTAAAGGATTATGCAATAAAAGCTATAATGTAATTGTTCAGAAATCGACAATTGCAGCACAAACTGTTGCTAATAAAACTATAAATAAAGCTGTAAATCAAACTCAAGAGCGGCAAATCTCCTAATGAGATTGTAGATACTGGAGTTTTTGTTGATCAAACATGACAAAAAAGGGGATATAGTTCACACAATGGGGTGACCGCAACATTGATCGATTGATCGATTGCAAAATTATTTTGGTATTTGCATCAGTCAAAATTGTGGCAACCTTAAAGATATGAGATCTTCAGCCTCAGCAAGTTTATTTTATGTAGCATCTTCAAGCAAAAATTATTAGCATTACCCGCATTGTACCACAGGTAAAGACAGTTGGTGTAAATACAGTTAGGATTAAGCTTATGGAACCAATGTGTATAAACCAGGACCAGGTCTTCCTATTGTACCTAAATTAAACCCCATTTCTGTAGAATTAACATCAGATGCTTACTTACAGATTACTTAATTACAGATGCTTACTTATAGATCTTTTACTTCATGGAAAAACACAGACCCAAATTTAAAGCTTTAATGATATGATCAGGCTTGGTCGAGAAGCGGGTGCGATCGCACTCGATATTTGAACACGGAAATTATATTTAGTTGCGAAAAGCCGGCCAGATTTTTTAGGCGTTTTGAGAACATTTCAAAAACAAGCAAAAAAGCGCAATAAGATAAACTGGACCGATGAGAGACAGTTAAAAAAAAAGAAAAATAGCTTTTAACGCAAAACTTTAAGCAAAATAAATACGATTAGAGTTTCAAAATATTTTTGAAATGTCGCTCTTTTATAATTTTTTTTTT